CAGCAACGCGTGCTCACTCATCATCTCATGCATCACAGTTACGATTTCATTGTATAGTGAGATTTACTTATCTGTGGCCAACTTCAGACGCTATCAATTGCTCAGCTCATGAAGCGTTGAATGATAGATTCATCAATGAGAATGAATTGGAAAGGATTTCGAAGGAAACGGTTGTAGCATAATTAGATTTACAGTTGCATTTGTGACTACTTCTCTGATGTAAAAGTCTGCTGACGTTTCTGGCTGCCGTACTGCTTCCATCTTCAGGGTTTAAGAGTAAGAAAACGAAGAAAACATAAAAAAGAAGCCGGAAGGCAGAGCTGTACCCCATCCTCGTAATACTTTGATGGAGCAACTGCGAAAAATCACTGATAACCTCAATCAGGATACTCGGTCGCAGATCGGGATTTGAAGCCATGATCTTCAGAGTACAAAACAGGAGTGGTACTTCACTAGGCCACGACACTCGATAAAAGCTTTTAAAATTGGACTTAACACAACTTAGACGCTTTGACCTGCAGTGGATTGTAGCTAATAATGAAGTAACAAGTCCAAGATCCCACGCTCTGTAAGACAATGAACAATGCAGAAGATGAATAAATATTAGGGAGATTCGACTCAACATTCCGATTGTATCGATATCCCAAGGTCACATGTGCCTCAGAGCCATGTTGAGAGGCCTCTGTTCATGAAACCTAGTTTCGTCCCGCGCCACTGAAGCACTGGGTTCGCTAGTTCTGTTCCATTTCGTGTGTGACGTGTATGTAGGGTTTACCCTTTAACGTACAGATGTTAGATATATCTAACAGCAATTAACACCCCCATGTGGCCGAATGTTACATTTATCTAATGCAGTACACGTGCACACTTTGGGAGTGCTGACAGTTTGATCTTCTGTTTGAAACCACAACAAAGCCGCGCAAGGTGAAGTCAGTTGTTCATGTCTTAGCTCTGATCAATGAAGCCGTTTATCACGGTACTGGTTTCGATACTATTTACGTTAAGATATGACTGTTTATGACCTGGTCAGCCAAATAGAGTCCGGCTTTGTTCTGAGAACTGAGAAGTAAATATTCATCTGAGCATGCAGATTAGTGTTGCTTGAGCATGTAAGGAAGTGGGTCGTTTTCAAGGATTTGTTTTCAGTAGCGAATTATCAGTCAGAAAGTCAGTGTCGGATTGTCAATTATTTATTTATAAACATTTTAATTTTGTGTCTAAGTAGAGGTACTGTATAAAGCCATTGAAGACAAACCATGCACATATGGGCTTTGTGGATAAATCTAACAGGAGGACATGGAAATCGACAAAGAAATTGGTTTCCCACTTTCTAGACATGACTATTCTCAATGCCTATTTATTGCAGAAGTCATATGGTGGAAAAATGACACATAAAAATTCCGCGAAATCCTAATGCGAGATTTGATTGTACAGTCACACGAGGCGAATATCACGGTCAGTGGCGTTTCTCGGGGGAGGCCAAGTTCATCTGGTGCCCAACTGAGTCGACTAGAGGTGAAACATTCGCAACACTGACCATCCAGAGGGAAATAAAAACGTCGTGTGTGTTCGCTAAATGAGAAAACCAGGAGCACCCTCTTCTATTGTAAAAAGTGTGATGTTGGTCTGTGTGTCGAGGACTGCTTCGAAGAGTGGCTCACGCGCGTCGGAGTGTGAGCACTGAATGGAATTATCATAAACTTCGCACGCGCGTGAGAGTGTGAGCACTGAATGGAATTATCATAAATTGTGGATTGACGCAATTCATACTTGCGTACAGTCTGAACAAAGGATTATTGTATATAGTGTGATTAGTTTTTGCAAAATCAACATGCCTGAAGTTTAGAGAAAAAACTACTGGTAAGTCTTTTGGAATTTCATAATATATATGTAATAAATATGATATTTTGCATTTCATGACAAAATAATCATAGTATATTTTCATTTGTAAAAATTGCTCTATTGTGTATATGTAGAAAATTTTACCGTCTTTCAAGCTGATTTTAGTTCGTATTTCTATGTTGCATAGAACGGAAAATATGTAGTTTTTTTCTGAAAGTCTGCAATGTACAGACTTAGGGCCATTTAAATCCCGGCGACAACAGGCTCTCGACAATTTAAAAGTCCATACTTCAAAGGTTACTGTGTTTTTCTGTCGCGTTAGATGCACTCTGATGGTCTGAATCTTTATGGGGAAAAAGTCTTACTCACTCACTCATGGAGCTGAGCCCTTCTTGAGAAGATGTAAATTGTGCAGCTATTCAAGAATTTCTTAGCATTTTATGGAACCCGAAGGTTCATTACCGTGTTCACAAGAGCCCTCCAGCTGTCCCTGTCCTGAGCCAGATCAGTTCCATCCATACCATCCCATCCTATTTCTCTGAGATCCATTCTAATATTGTTCACCCACCTACGCCTTGGTCTTCCCAGTGGTCTCTTTCCTTCCGGCTTTCCCACCAATATCCTATATGCAATGTTAGGTGGGTCCCTTGTCACGAGGGCATGGCGCGTCCTCAGGTTGCGGAAGGAGAAGATGCCCTCCAGGTATGAAGGGAAGCTGCGAATATATTGAATAAGCAATCGCGGAGAGCCGACAAAGGGTTGTGCTCCTGCTTGGGGGTTGGGCGTGGTGCTAACAACTCCTCGCCGTAAAAAATACGCTTGCTACGAAAATGTTCACAAAGCCTCGGACCTGGACGGATCCTCTGGGTAAACGACCTAGGCGAAAGAAAATTCTTACGGAATTTATAATAGGATTGACCGTATTAGTGGGACTGGAGAAGGTTTTCTTCGAGTAGTTTGGTTTTCCCTGCCCCAATTCTCATTCCAACAACTGCTCCATATTCATTAATCCTATCATCGGCGCTGTATAGTCTCCGTACTGACAGCGACGTTAAATAAGCAACTTAAAAAGACTTAAATCCAAATGGTTGGTTTGCTGTCTTCGTAGATATTTCACTGGTTTTGGTGCTTATATTTTACACACCGTAGCGTAGTTGGTTGATGCACTGTGCTACAAGCCGGGATGTCGTAAGTTCGATTCCCGATGAGATCAATGGACTTTTCAGTTGACGTAAGCCTTCCAGCTGCACTATGGCTCTGAGGTCGACTCAGCCTCTAACAGAAATGAGTACCAGGAATCTTCCTGGGTGGTAAAGGGCGGCCGGCGAGTAAGGCTGACAACCTCACCGCCATCTATGAGCCGATTGTCTAGAAAATGTTTGAGCTTCGACGTTTCACAACCCCATGGCCCTTCACGGCCTGTTACAGGGATAGCTTTAACTTTATACATTGCAAATACAGATAAGTTTTTTGTGTGGTTCATCTTACGACCCTGTGAATATCTAAACTACATATAATCTAATGGTGACATTATGAGTGGATGTTGAGCTGGAAAGGCTCTGGGGGGAAGGTGTCGTCTGAAACAAGTATTATTGCGTTATCCGCCTGGAGGGACTGGGGAACACCATGAAAATCCTCAGTTCGTATGATCAGCATTTCGGCCCAAATCCGATCAGAGCACCTCTCAAATAAAATTCTACAGCTTTACGGCTAGACCAACATGGCTGATATAAATCTGTTAGTGAAAAACCAATCGCAGTAAGCGGTCAGAAATTAATTTTCTTTCCATTTCTGACATATTCAGCACATAGAAAAAAAGTGAAGGTCTTAATAGAATATTTTCATTTCACACAAATTCTTTGTGCGAATATGTAACGTTATGTATGAGTCTCACGTAAAGTAGGATTAATAACGGTCCGATACAAACCGAAATTAAATTTCTCCCACAATTCTTAGTGTAAAGTCATCAGTATAAAAATAATTGAAATCCATTCAGTAGTTGTGAGGATGTAACTTGGCAGAATAATGGACGGACGGCCCATATGTGAGTTCACTTCGTGCTAAAGGCCCATAAAACCTGTAGGATGATGTAGACGTAGGCTGTTTTGGAAACCCAGTCTTTATTCCGGCGTTTATTAACCCGCAAAACAATCAGAGTTTGAGAAACGTGAATGGTGTACGAATCCGGATACATAACAACCCTTACAGTTCTACGCTTTTTGACTCCTGCGCTGTGCTGTACCTATGTGAGTAGTTTCATGCTTGGGTTGATTTAACTCCGGAGACATATATGTTCGGCATCATGTGACCCCAGAGCCATTCTGGACACCGTCGAGTTAAAACAAATTTTTCTCTCGGTGGGGATCGAATCACTGTCGCCCAGCATTAGCTACTAACTTTACTCATCATCATCATCATCATCATCATCATCATCATCATCAGTAAATAAAGTCAGAAGGTACTATCCCTGTTCTTAGTTAGCTTTTGAATCAATTACGCACCATGCAGTTAAGGTGTGAGGCCGATGTAAGGATGGCTCGAACATTTTTGACCTTGGCACTAGATGAAGGTGAGTCGTAGACTTCTCACCCCGGCACGTTCACCCCGGGGGAAATAGCCCCCAGTACCCCCTGGGTGGGTACCACAGCCGGTCTTGACGCTCTGGGGTGAAGAAAAATCTTTTGTGCCTGTCAGGAATCGAACCCTGGCCGTTCAGTCCATAGCTTGTCGCNCCCCCCACTAAGCGAATTTTTAAATTTGAAGGTAAAGCTATCCCTGTAACAGGCCATGGAGGCCCATAGTGTTATGAGATGTTGAGGGTCCCACATTATCTAGACAATCGACTCACATGTGGAGGTGAGGTTGTCAGCCTTACGCGCCAGACGCCCTTTACTCCCAAGAATATTCCTGGTACTCATTTCAGTTTAGAGGCTGAGTCGACCCCAAGGCCATAGTGCGGCTGGAAGGTTTAGGTCGATTGAAAAAAGTCCACCTCATCAGGACTCGAACCCGAGACCTTCAGGCTTGTAGAATAGTGCCTAAACCAACTACGCTACCGCGTGCCCCCAATATTATTGTTATTATTAAATGATTTTTTTTCACCGCCCAACGAGAATTTACGCTCTAGAGGATAAGAGGTTGTGTTGTCTCTGTTGCAGCGGCTGAAGGCGCAGAGGAAGTGGTGTCCGTGAAGGGGGTGGACCTGCTGCTGGCGGAGAATGGGCCCCTGCACCATACAGAGCAGTACGACGTGATGGAGCGCGAGAAAGAGCCGCTACTTGTGGTACGGCGAGGACAGGCGTTTTCCGTCAATATTACCCTCAGTAGAGCCTACAACGCAGATAAGGACGCCGTGTCCTTCATTTTCACAGTTCAAGGTCAGCCACTTCCCCTGACTAGACACTCTGCCCTTAGGTAAAGTCATCGCCATGAAGGCGTATGTGGGAGTGGATGTATAGATCCACATTTTCTTGACCTCGGCACTAGCTGGAGGTGAGTGGTCAGCTTCACGCCCCTGTCGCTTTACCCCCGGGGAAAGAGCCCCCGGTAATCATTAGATAGGAGGCTGGGTTGGCCCCAGAGCCGATCTGGACGATATGGAGAAGAGAAAATTCTGACCCTACCGGTACTCGAACTCTGACACCTCGGTCGTCCAGCCCGTGGGCAGTCACTATATCGATGTATGTGGATTTTGATGGTTAGGACCTAATAAGGGAACGGTGTCAACAGTCAAAGTCATTTTACATCTGTCAGTCTGTCTTGGTGTTGAGCCCAGTCTGGGGCTCATGACCAAATTTATTTTTGTCAAGACAGTTATGGTTTGGGAAAGGTGAATATTACATAAAGAGGAACATCATGATATAGCTCACCGCTCGAGGAAAATGGCTCAAGTGTTAACGCGTCTGACAGGTTCAGGAAGTGCCCGGTTCAAATCTCGTTCCACTGCCCTAAACATAGACTTCTGGTGGTTTTCCTTTGTTCCTCAAGGCAAATGCCAAGATTAGGCTATGACCTTTTCGTTCCTAATCCTTTCTTAATTATAAATCATAACATTCCCAGTATTTGAAAGCGTCGTAAAGTAAATTTTTGAAGTGCGTAACCTTTAATAAACTTGACAGAATGTAGTGTTACACTATAAGCGACACCGAGTCTTAAGTAAGCCACGAAAAATAAATAAACCTTCGTTTGTTTTGAGGTTTTCAGGGCGGTGACAATGAAGAAAGCCGAAGAAAGCGCCGTGTAGATGTTATGTTAACCGACGTTTCGGAGGAACCTATCGCCTCCATCTTCAGGGTCTATTTGCACCTGCTCAAGCTGGTTCTTCGCTTGCGGATTTTCTTCTTTTTACTCCTACCTTGAAGATGGAGGCGATACGTTCCTCCGAAACGTCGGTTAACAGAACATCTACATGGCGCCATATCCCAGAAGACTGCTTTCTTCAGACCTTCGTTTATTTGCGTTTTGTCTGATGATGACCCTGTCAGTAATCAAGTGTCAAATAATTGGGGGTTAATGAATAATGAACTGAAAACGATGTGGAAGGAAGAAGTCATGAATTCATATGGGGGGGCTGTGGAAACTCTGTTTCTTAAATGAGATTCATACAGGGTACCTACCAAACAGAAAAAAAACTGTCATCATTTGAGTCAACATACATCCAAAGCTCGCATACATCATGTGAACACGTCAGCATGACTGGAAAGTAGCCACTTCCTGTTATGTTACAAGTAATTTGAAATACAGACCAGGTGGAGAGCCAGAACCAGAAATGTCTTCTTGAAAAACTTTGTTTTTGTGTTGATGATTGCAATATTCTGGGATGTGATGTCATGTAGTTTGGTAGAGAAATGAATGAGTGAATGTATAAGGGATGGGCCTTCTTGGCCCTTGCACCGCGACCACAGTGATCTATTGTGCCTTGGTAGACAAATACTGATGTTTTGGGGGAACCTGCAGTCTCCATTATGAAGTAGCTTGGACATAGAACCAGCATATTCCTTTCAAACATTGGTACTCATCTATGAAACTATACAGTGTAATATTCCAGAAGTCACTAATCTTGTTGTTTACAGAGGCATTTGAAATTTGTATTCTAATTTGACATTGTTGATGCAATTAAAGCTGTGATGGGTAGAATATGAAATATGGTATGGTAAATCAGAGGTACACATGGAAATTCCCTGGAACCCTTGAGGACATATTACTAGATGTACGAGTAATATTAAAATGGATATTTGCGAAGCAAGCAACATGTAAATATACAGACTAAATTCAGGTGATATAGGATGGGATTGAACTACAGACTTCAGTGACGAAAATGACATCTACAGTTTCCACAGAAGTAGGGGATATCTAGACCAGTTGAGTGAACTCTTCAAGTGGATTCTGTAACTGCATAGCGTGAAGAAAAACAGACAATAAACATGATTATTATTTCACACACATTCCATCTTCTAGAATTTGTTTATTAAACACAACATTTTGGAAACTCGAACTATTTCCATCATCAAGTGGAAAAGAGGAAAGGATCCTACTAAACTGTGTCAATTACAGGAAGGTAGTTTGATTACTGGAGCAAATACTAGGAACATTTTCTCACTTATATTTGATGACAGAAGCAGATCCAATTTTCCAAAAAAATATACTCAAGATGATGGACATGTTATTGTTACACACCATTCTCCAAAACACTGAGATTTAGCTTAGAGGCAATAAAGCCCAATGTCTTTATTCTGTTTGTAACACTGCTTTAGTGGATTGGTTTTGTTGTATCTCAAATACAGCCTCCAGGATTTTTCAGTATTTAAATTTTATGCCTTCATCTGACCATTGCAACATTATTGGAGCCAAATGCATTGTGCGAGGGTTTTTATACATATGTAAGATTTGAGGTTTTCATGGCTTCTGTTCCCAGCCCCTTCCTCCCTCCCTCCCACTCCACTGATTTCCCATGTAGACTTGCCCCCCCCACCTGCTCTGGCATAACTGTGTTTATTTCCAACACCAGTCTGCTTGTACTGGTTCTCACGGTCCCTTCGCTTGTGGATTTCTTATTTTTCTTTCTAACCCGAAGATGGAGGCGATACATTCCTCCGAAACGTCGGTTAACACCATATATACATGGTGCCAAATCCCAGAAGACTGCTGTCCTTATACATGTTTACATTAAATATACAGACTGTCTGATAAAGTCAGCTGAGTGTCAGACAAATTATTTATGAGTGTAAGTAAAAGGGCGAAATACTGACATATTTAGTTTACTTCAAAATTAATGCTTCCTTAAAAGTGACGGTTATAAACAAAATAAATTTTTGGTCATTTTCACCTGGATGGTTTTAATTATAATTTGAACAGTGTGATAATATTTTAACATGTTTCAACATGGCTGCTACATTGACAGAATGTACCAAAGAAATGCAGTGACCAGTGATCAATTTCTTATGGTCAGACAGCATGAAAACTAGTGTCATTTCCTGAAGAAATCCAGTTCAGCATGACAGTAACTGTATAAGCCAGAGAGAAGTTTACTGTTCAGGTGGAAATGTTCAGAGTAGGCAGATGAGTGTTGTAGGCAGCCATTATCTGTAACATGTGTTCATGTTAAGGAGCAGGTCTATCAGTGTATCCAAAACCACAGAAGAATCAGCATAGATGAATATTTTAAAATGGCAGTCAGTCATGGAAGGAGGGAGTGCAAGAGTGGCTTACTGCCAAATCAAAATATTTTATTTTAATGAAATTGCACCTGGCAGTGCAAGATTTTTTTTCTTCACAGCATCCAAATCAACTCTGGGGTCCATCCAGCCTCCTATCCAATGGGTATCGGGTAATATTTTCCCAGAGGGTAAAGCAACAGGGGTGTGAAGCTGACCCTTCACCACCATCTAGTGCCAAGGTCAAGAAAGGTGGAGCTATACCTCCACTCCCCCATGTGTCTTCATGGTGTACTGCTTAAATAATTAAGCAACATTTATATTGAATTGTCTTTAATTTATTTTCCTTCACAAAATTACTAGCTATTATAATCTTCTGTAGATAATTGTGAAATCATTTGATAAGGATGTGAATAAATCTGCAGTATCATGGCAACTGTTGTTCTGCTTTGTTTCAGATGCTGAGAAACCCAACTACGGTCAAGGAACTCTAATTGCTGTTCCACTCCTCGCTAAAGGAGCTGAATCGGGCACTGCCTGGAATGCAGTTCTGGAATCCAGCAATGAGAATGTCATTGGGGTCAAGGTAACAGACTTCTGTGCAGCAGAATATCTAGAATATAACATCAGTAGGTGGGCTTTCTCTTTTCGTTTAAAGCATTAGGACATTAGTGCCTGTTGCACCACCACCTGTTTTTGCCTTCATGCTGTGAATCTTCTAAATGTCTCTGAAAATTACTGTCTTCTGTTGTGTGATCTTATGTAGTCTCAGAGATGTTTACTCTTGTTATGGAGGCACATTCTGCCTCTATCTTTAGTGTAGCAGTGATCTATCAGAGTGCTAGTGCTATCAGCAGGGTATTATAATTCTCTTCTGTCCTGAAGTTGGTGGCAGTATGCTTTGGTAGACATGTACTAGACTACACATACATACCAACATATCCTAGAAGAAAGAAATCTTCATAGTCACTACTATGATGACCTCAAATATCATCTAATATCTCTTTTACCAAATTATTTGTAGGGTGAGATATTTTGAAACAAAGAAATGTTTAGATTCTGCATTTCATTACCCAGACTTTCACACAAGCTTGAAAAATGCATATAGAATTTTAGTTGGAAATCCAGAAGGTAAATAGACTGCTTTGGAGAATAGGCATGATAATATTAAAATATGTCTTAAAGAATTCAGACGTGAGGTTGTGATCTGGATTCAGATTCCATAAAGGCCATTTCTTGAGCAACTGAAAGAATCTGCTTCCAAAGCACTGGTCATTGCTATATGCCTGATGCTATCAGTGTTGTTATAGGTTGTGGAATTTGCTTCCATATGTGGTATCTGACTAACATGGCCTCTTGTTATTCATTTTAGGTGGTAGAAACCCAGGATAGGATTTCTATTTTATCTATAATAATAAGATGATTGTGATGATGGACAACAGAAGAGAAGTATAATATAATGTCAGATACAAGCCATGGTATGGGACTGGTGTATCTCTTAATGGGAAGGCTATTAATTTTGAAGTAACACAAATATCCACACTGAAGTTGCCCAATATTGATTCCAAGACGTTCTGTGCAGAAGGCCAACACCATGAGGCCCCCAAATTTCCACTATATTTTGTCTACTATGGGAACAAGGGTGTGTTATCATCAATTAGTGATGTAGATTGTTACATCATCATTAGAAAGTTTCTGCATTCTCTACTTAACATACTTAAAAAAATTTGTAGCTGGTGGGAAATTCAAAAATATTTACAGAAGATATTTGTTCTGTAAGATTGCCTGCCCATGGTAAATATACCATGGTTTACAGAGTAGATGAAATTTACATGTGGTTTAGTAGTAACCTTATTTCAGTGATAAATTGGCATGGAATTTTGATTAGTATGAAAGTAAAATTTATCCCAGTGGTTTTGAGAAATTTCCCAGTATGGAATTTTGCATATTCTCTGTGGAATGTTGTGACTCCAGATCACACCTGCAGCTGATGCCATCGTGGGGCAATGGAAGATGGATATCGACACAAAGCTGAAGAATGATGGAGCAGTCAGCTATAGCCATAAGGATCCTATATACATCCTGTTTAATCCTTGGTGCAGACGTAAGTACTCTGAATGACAAGCTGAGGACCAGATCATTAATATGCCTATTTTGCACGCAGAGAAGTAGATGTTAATGTGACCACACTGCGCGTAGAATACCATTTTCTTTAATAGTATTATATTTCAGCATCCTGTTTCATTCATTCATTCATTCATTCATTCATTCATTCATTTATTGTATATTCCATTAATCCATATACATAGATATAGAACCAGTCACATAGTTAATATAGTAAAATACAAATATAAATATATATGTACAGTTTATAATCATTAAAATAGATAAAAAAACATGTGTTAAATTTATATAAAAAAACAGTCTTACATCACTATACGTAAAATTATTCAATATTAAAAATTTTTTTATGTTATTATCCTTATTTCTAGGCAAATTTGTTACTAAAGAATTCATCACATGTATAAAAAGAAACATGTGTTAAATTTACAGTCTTACATCACTATTGGCACTGTTATACTGGCTAATGACTGATTTGTGTGGGCAGTCTTGAAGTTGCAACTTCTTGCCGTGCCAGTAGACTGTCGTGGTATTCCATGCAGTCACTTTTTTAAAAAAGCAATAGAACAAGGGAGTTATGTAATAGTGTCTGATACCAGTAGTCTATAAGCATGACAAGAATCTGCACTTCCAAGACTGCCCATACAAATCATATAGTTTCTTTAATATGATTGCTTTGCATGTTAAGACCCAGGTAATACCATGGCTGTCTTACACGTAAAGAACCTGGTGTTAGTGTGATCTCTTCACCTGTGAAATCCAGGTTTCTAACCCCTTAGTGTGTCTGATGTTGAGAACAGCATGCTGTAGCTGTAAAATGCTGTGGTATGCAACACTGAGACAGACTATTTTCAGTTTCAGATTGAAACATGATGATGATATTAAAATCCTTCATAGATGGCTGCACAAGTCAAAGCCTGGGTTCTTTAAGCAACTCAGAACGAAACACATGTTTGTGGTAAAATAATGAGAATTCAAATAATCTTGCACCAGATGTTTAAAGGCTCTGAAAATTATGGTGTCCATCTTAAATGTTATTCTTTAGCTCTGTGCTGTGCTCAGAAAAGAGGGCTTAAAGGGGTAATGATATCTCTTTGTACATAGAGAACCAAGTGTATATTATCATATTCATTTGTCATACAAGGAACCACATCTTACAATCTTTTCACACAGAGGACCAGGTATTCTTGGAGAGTGACGACCTGTTACGTGAGTATGTGTTGGCGGATACTGGTCTCATCTGGCGAGGTAGCTATAACCGCTTGCGTCCCTGTGTCTGGAAGTATGCACAATTCGAGAAGGACATTCTGGACTGCTCACTGTACCTTGTGTCACACGTGGGCAAACTGACCCTTGCTGGGCGCTCTGACCCAGTTAAGACTTGCAGAGTTCTCTCAGCAGCTGTAAGTTTGTGATTAATATGTTTTCAAATGTAGGTAGTCTGACTCTAAACAGAACTTAGGAAAGGAATTATGATGTCTGGACATTCATGTCCGTTTAGCTACCCATCATCTGCTTAATAAAATAATTAATTCTTTATTTAATACACCAGCTGAATACCACTCTTGAAGAGAAATGGACAACAGCGACTTTTCTAAATTCAGAACGTTTCTTACTGGAAGATTCTATATTATGTGTGCCCAGTTTGCATAGTGATGGTGAGAAACTGTGGCCTCATAGACAGACTCTGCCAGCACTGAGTAAAGAGAAATATGTATAAAACAACGGTTATAAAACCAAGAGAAAAGACCATTTATGACAATGAAGCATGTATGGAAGGATATCATAATTCTAAATTTTAAAAACTGGAGTTTAAGTTGGATTAAATTAGCTCAGAATATGGTCTAATAATGGCCTCTTGTATGAATCTTTGGGTTCCATAAAATTATGGAATTTCTTGATTAGCTGAATAAATGAAAAATGCTCCAGGAGGGTTACAGTGTGGAGTTTGGCTAGTATATATACTTTTTTGTTAATTGAGGTTTGTTTTTAGGTAATTAAGTCAGTGAGTAAAACTTGGTTCATTGCCACTACTACACAATTTAGATTGTATTCATTGCTCTAGGTTAACTCTCCTGATGACAATGGTGTTATCATGGGCAACTGGAGTGATGACTTTGATGGAGGCACCCCTCCCACTAAGTGGGTGGGCAGCATGAAAATCCTTCAGAAGTTCTACAAGGACAAGAAACCTGTTAAATATGGCCAGTGTTGGGTCTTCTCTGGAGTTCTTACAACAAGTAAGTACTGAACTGTTGCTCAAACCAAACATTCTTAGTCACTTGACTGAATTGAACTTTTAAAATTCTGCACAAGAAGCGTGATTGATTGATTTTTTTAATGACAGTTTCTTATGCATGTTAAAAAGATGGGAAAATGACTTTTAATGTTTAGTATAAAAGAATTAGGAAGGAATTGGTTATGGTCCATTTTAGCATACTATCCTGGTCTTAAATTAGGCCATGACCACTTCCTTCCACATTCTTTCCAATTAATTATCCTACTTTTTGATGCTAAATGTCTGAGTTACTGACAGTGCAATTAAATAAACTATAAACACAAACAAAAAGAAAGAAAACCAGAACAAATAAACACAATAAACCTCAGCCACGGTATACAGTAAATTGGTTGACACTTCAGTTGGGTTCCTCCCAAACAGGTACAAGTCTCGAGTATTACTGTGTCACTGTACTAGACTTCTTGGTGCACGTGTTAAAGAAATGTTATTTTACTTAGAGTATATCTCTTGCATTATCTAGAGATAATTTTTGAGTTGCCAGTTTCTTTGCTGATGACAGTTCTTATGTGAATTAGTTTCAATGGTTCCATTATCTCTGTTGATGACTGTTTCTCATAAAGCAACTTTTAAAGCCACTGATAAGAATTTTCTATATCTGATGGTATGATTTTTGGACTATCAGCTTGTAGAGATTCATTGCAGGCGGTAGGCAGTTTATGTCGATGTTTTAAAAAAATTTCCACGTTTGGTTGATATAATTAGCTTTTGAAGGAAGTCTGTCAATCCTATATATACTGTGACTTAAAAAGTTGCAGTTTTAGTTTAAGAAATATATTGTGACATGATGCCTGAAAGCCAGAGTAGTGGAGGCAGAGCCAGGCACCCATTGCTAGACAATGAATATGACTGAAGAAGCAATGCATTGCATACAGAGTCACATCGATTCGTAGACAATGCATACAGAAACGTTTCCGTTCACATGGCAAAGAACCTCCAAAGCACAGTAACAGCGAAGAACATGATAACTCTACTGTTGAAGGAGGTGATCTCCATATGGTTTGACCAAAACCCATCTCACAGAGAAGACAAACAAAAGTGAAGTCTTTATTTTATGTGGTGCAGTTATGGTAACCTTTAGAGTATTATAATTTTTCATAGTTACGAAATGTTACAGTTACAGTAACACTGTGCTAAAACTAACTGTAGTTCTGCCTGGTGAATATCCAAAAATTGATTCATCCAATCCAGAGCCCAGGAATTACTTGTCACGTTTCCAGGATACGTGACAATATGCACTGCCTGTATCCATCCAACTTATTCAGTTCTCACTGTTATTTAATCTCTTACACTATGATATTCCATGCCTCACATATCTATTCTACCACATCTACTACATCTTAGTTTTTCCACGAGTTAATCACAACATTCATATTCAAACTACCATCTCACATCTGAAATTGGAGTTAAATTCAAAGCAAAATGTAAAATATATGTATACTCTGAAATACAGAGGTGCAGAAATACGGCCATCTGCTTGCCACAAAGAAGTTAACAAACCTGACAAGTACATTTAGACTTATATGGGCAGGCAGGCTTTACTAACCCCATTTTTGCAATATCCGATTCAAGCTGAACAAGCACCCATTTGACTTTAGTCCACATCTAAAAATGATCTTCTCCGTTTGCTGGGTCATTTAACTTCATTCATTGTCCTATGAAAATACATTTTTCTTGTTTTTTCTCTTTTCCTTAAAATTACATTGTGTAACCGTTCATTTTGATTGCAGAACTATTGTGCATTAATTAAATCTGTATTAAGTTAAGATTACAAAATTACAAACAAAGAGATCCGGCAGATAGCCAGCTCTTACACGCGGAAGGGACATAGTTCAAGTTTTGCTATGTGGACTGGAAGTAACATCTGGTAATTTCCTGGAATTCTGGCAGTTTCAGCAAAGTCGGAAAGTCTTTGGGAATTTGAGAGCTGACCGCTTGGGACAGCTATAACTTAGAAGTGGGACGGCTGGAGCCTCATACCCTGATCGTAATGCATCAAGGGGCTGTCAACCTTAGTGTCAGGTCAGCATCTGCCAGAATCACATAGCAGAGCAACATGATTGGGAATTCAAAATTTAGGGAACCTCCTAGTTTGAAAACTTAACCAATGGCAGAAGTGGAGGAGTGGATTTCTCTTGGAGTCTGGGGTTCGTGGACCTCAGGATTCAGAGAGAGTGCATTCCACCTCGAGTAGTCTTGATACAACTTTCGGCAAAGTCGGACACAAAATTTACAACTACAGCCCTTCCGTAAAGTATTATAAGTAAAGTTCAAATTAAGTACTAATAAATTCAGTTGTTTTCTGTAAGCTGGAGGGAATTAAATGACCACTAAGTGCAACGGTCGAAAAAGGTGTGTGATTGTAGTGAAAGGTTCTTCCTGCCCTGCCCGAGCCAGACCCGTATAAGACCCGGGATAGGAACTCAGCTCTACAAATTACTGAACAGAACCCAGATACTCCCGTCTTTACCTACTCTCGCGTACCAGCTCCAACAATCACAATTCTCCTCCCTTCCCACCTAACTTCTCAACATCCACGAGAAGAGGGAGTACGGTGATAAGTGGAGCACAAACGCAGGGTAAAGGGAGGACGGCAACAGCATGGCGCCCAACGTAAAGGGCCCAAAGAAGTGAGAAGTTACAATTATTTTACGAAAATGGTGAGAAAACGGTACATAGCAACAGGGTTAAATAACTAGTAGATTTAGATAGTAATTTTAGAGCCCTGCAGACACTTAACAGCTTTAGGCAACAGCTAAAATGTTCAGAATTGTTTTCAACTGTTGATTACACATGTGCAGGTTATTCAGTGTGCAGATTAGCCCTGGGACTTCCAGAACCTTTATTTATTAATTATAGATCCTGACACTGAATTAAATATAGCTCATTGAAGTACATCTGCTTCAGTAATATGTATCAGGGTATTAAAATTTATGTACTATTACACAACAGTGCTTGATTATTGTATAATAAAATAATTCAGATCAAGTGAAACAATAAGTCAGTCAATTTATTACGTTATTTATTTATTATATTAATCAATTTATATTGTAACGTGGATGACGCAACGGGAAGTAGGGGTCACGTGAACTCTGCAGTCTCGTGAGTAACATCACATACCCCCCACCCATTCCATTATTACGCAATGCTCGGTAAACACTCCATCGCCTCCCGCGGTGATGTAATGGCACTTCCCATTGTGACATAACAGGGGACACCATGGGTACTACTCAGCAATAAACAACTCTCGGCAGCGTTCCCCAGCAACGCCTGTAAACACGACATTATGCAACAGTGGTAGCTATCATGTAACTGTTTTCTGTGTTAGTGCGGAAGCTACATAAGGATTGTGTACTGAGTAACCAGTCAGTTGCAGTCTAGCATTCACCGGTGTGAGCTGAAGTCCATTGTTATTGAGTTGTATCGAGTGAATGGCAGTGACTCCAGCAGGAGAAGTAACTGTGATACTGCAGATGGCAGTAGTTTTGAAACTGTAAACTGTGTAAATGTAAGAGTGAGTGGAATAAATTCGCTAGATCTAAGACGGTGTGAAGTTATTCGTCGTGTTACATACCCAACATGTGACAATATAACAAATTGATTGACTTATTGTTTTCACTAGTTATTAATCCTCTTATTATGCAATAATGAAATGTTGTTGTGTGAGATGATACAAAAACTTTTAATATCATATACACGATAAGATGCATAAAATAAAAATAATGTATCAGGATACTTTACACAGTTTACAGTTGTTATCTCCTCACAGTACAGTACATTTCTTCACTGTGTAGACGTTTCTATCATATTAATTTACTGCATGTCATGTTTGCCCACTATCACTGAACCCAGGTTGCTTTCTCTTATTGGAAAGATACCTGTCTCACTGTTTAGTGACCAGCTGCACAATTAGATGACCTTCAGGGTTGAATGCAGAATGGATAGTGGGTATCTCCAGATTTTTTTTATTATCTGTTACTTTTAATTATCTCTGCTTCTTCTATCTTCACTACCACTTGTTTCAGTTGGTCGTGCACTGGGCATCCCCAGCAGGTCTGTCACCACCTACGCTTCAGCTCATGACACACAGAGCAGCCTGACAGTTGATTACTTTGTTGATGATGGGGGTGAAGTAATGGAGGAGCTCAACAGTGACTCCATCTGGTACAGTTTCTGGCTTTTGTCAACAAATCATATATATCTAATTAATGAAGTATTACACCCTGAAACATTCCATCAAGCAGGGTCCTTCTTGAGAAGTTGATTGGTGCTCAGCTAGTCAAGAAATTCCTGCCTTTTGCAGAATTCAGAGGTTCATTATTGTGCTCATAACAGCCTGTCACTAGGTCCTTAAATTATCTTAGAACTATGTAAGTTTTGAGGTTTTCACGGCGATGACAATGAAGAGAGTCGTCTTTTGGGTTTAGGCACCGTGTATTCTTCGTGTTGGCCGACGTTTCGGAGGAACGTAGTGAACGTTCACTACGTTCCTCCGAAACGTCGGCCAACACGAAGAATACACGGTGCCTAAACCCAAAAGACGACTCTCTTCATTATCTTAGAACTGTTTTAAAGATCTGAGACGTGAGACTACTTTCAATTAATATGAGAGTAGGGGAGGCAGCCCCTGGACATATGGACAGATGAATAATGTATATGCATATCTGGACCATCAGTATGCATGCCCATTACAATGGTAACTAATTAAAATGTTCAATTTGGACCTCCAATATGTATGAGAGATTGAGGTATGCCTACAAACTTGAAAATTCTCATTAATGGATTTCAGATTTAATATATTTTTTCTCAAAAATGGATCATCATTCAAATCAACATTGCTTGTCATTAAAAATATATATCTCATTGCAATATGTATCTTTTATTTGAATTATAAGCAAAATATTATTTTTCTGTATTTAGAAATTCTGATTTAGTAAATAACCTGCATTTCTAGGGTAAGAAATTGTTGTATTTCCTGAACTTTTACCTCAGTTTAGTGCAGTTGTGGTTGAAACAACAATCACTATTCACATTTTCTGTCTACTGGAAATTATAACCTAACAACCATAATCTTTGGCAAGGGTGTGTTAAGTAAGCCCAATGAAATAATGCCTCTTGTAGCATCATGGTTGCTTAGATTCTTGATCAAATTTTTTTTGGTGTTTATTTCTTATATCATTAATTATTTCAGAAATTAATCTGATATTATTTGGTATTTAAGTATTTGTGTAAAGAAATTATGAGGGTAAGTCAGAAATTATCCACACTTTCTCCATAACACATCTTAAGGTTTGTCACACTGCCTCCTACGCATGCATTGTTAGAGTTGGTACTACTGTGGTCACGTGATCGAAGTTTTACCTTGCTCACATCATTTTCCTTGATGCTGTGACAGTGTAAACATGGCCGCTCTGCTAGCAGTGTGCACCAATGATTAACAAAGAATAGTGATCCGATTTCTCTGATTGGAAGGTGTGTCAGGGGCTGAAATTCATATGTGGGTTCATCACTATGAGCCAGAATCCAAAAGCCAGAGTATGGCATGGAAACAGCCGGGATCGCAAACGAAGATGAAATTCATGACTCAATCTTTCGTGGGAAAGGTGATGCTAACCGTTTTTCGGGACTCAAAAAGGCCTATACTGGAAGACTACCTGGAAAAAGGGTGTACAATCAACAGTGCAAGATACAGTGATTTGCTGGCCAACAATCTGAAGCCAGCAATTCGCACCAAACGCCAAGGCCTACTGTCAAAGAGAGTGTTGTTGTTGTTGTTGTTGTTGTTGCAAGACAATGAACACTCACACAAGGACGGCCAGACCGTTGAAACCATTAACCATTTGTGTTTCGAGGTGCTGGAACACCCTGCCTACAGCCCAGATCTCGCCCTTTCCGACTATCATCTCTTTGGACCGCTCAAAGATGTTTTACGAGGTTTTTGATTTTCTACGGACAAAGAAGAGGGGGAAGCGGTGCATAAATGGTTGTGCGACCAAACGAAAACCTTCTTTGTGGAGGGAATACGCAAGCTTTTGGACCATGGACCAAGTGCATCGAAAAGGGAGGAGACTATGTAGAAAAATGAAGTACTTGTTCAACCCCTACTTTTGTATATATGGATTGGAAAAACAAGTGCGGATAATTTTTGACTTCCCTACGTACATTTTCATAACTGTGCAGTCTTGTAAGAAGATGAATATTGTCTTGATTGCATAATCCCCAATTGGTGAAAACTCTGATTTAGTGTAAGAAAACTCATTTCCCCAGAGATCTGTTAAACAGGGATTTCGCTTTACTTAACAGAATATGAGGAGAAGTGTTTTGTGACTCTGTCCAATGTGGCATCTGCATCATCTATGTAACAATGAAAAGTACTAATCTTCTGGTAGAAGTGACCTCATTACATCCCAGAATACAGTAGTCTTCATAGTCACCATTTCGAGAACCAGATCCAGCTTAGCTTTATGACAATCTCTTTATTTCAGCAATAAATGAATATAAAAGCCACCAAAGCATATGAAGTTGCACCAGTGTAACGTGTTTTGCCATTCAGATTGCTAATTGGTTTATTTAACAACCTACAAATCGCAGCTACAATTAATTATGACAATGTTATGGGTTTACACACTTTACAAATCCTACTCACAAATCTCTTCACACTATCTTCAGTAGTCTTCATGTATTAATAACGTGGGAGCTATACAAGTCTCTCTAAACTACACACCTCCAATATAACTGTACTACAGCACACATAAAATCTTGAAGTCACACGGTAAGGCTTCACTGGCTGACTTCTCAGTTATCGTGCACTATCACAGATTATCAGACAAAATCTTCTCACCATGCATTCGGTTCTTCTTTCCGCGACTGCTGCTATATTTCAACTGACTGCTTAGTCCAAGTCACATTGCGACTGACGGTCAGTCAATCAGTAAGTCTTGGTGTCGAGCCCCATGTGGGCTCATGACCAGATATTTATTACTGTTTGGCATTTACAGTCTTGTTTTTGTGGGGTGCCCTCTCTGACAAGAGGATGGGTCTGCCTTTTGTATATGCTGCTGGCCCTTGCCAGTGCAGTCTTTTTCGGGGTCTGAGTCCCTTGGGACTCGAGACCATATTTTACGGTCTCAGATTTGAGACTTCCCTTTTCGTCACCTCCTACGACTTGCAGGGTCACGGTGGAGGTATTCAACCCTACCTCCACATGGTCCAGTCTCTCTTATAAACCCTCAGTCGGACAGCTGAAAAATCCATCTCGCTTCACTGTTGCGTAACCTGGCAACTGACCGTTTATCAAGGGTCTGTCTTCGTGGTAACTCATTCCACCTCCCGTTGCCCAGCAACACTTAGACATGTCACAATATACTACCACAGTCAATATCGTGGAATGGCCGCAAAGCGTCATAAGGGAATTTACTGCCAATATGTTTCAGCAATGTTTTCGAGAGCTATATAAACATTGGCAGACTTGCATAGCAGCCAACGTCAACTATTTTGAGGGCCGATGTGGATCTGCATAAGCGTATGTGAATACCTTGTAATATGATGCAATAAAACCACATTCCACGAACTTAACGACTCTACCACGTGTATATATATATATATATATAGGAGTTAGGTTAACTGTCACACAACCAATATTCTCGCTTTTAATGTTTACAATAGGCTTTTTATTCCTATTATATGTTTTGGTCATACAAGACCATCATCAGGCATATAATTTAGGAATACGTTCAGTTACTGAACTACCGATATGGATCCATGTGTCCATGTGCAATGTGTCATATTATATAAGAATGGAAAGTTTGCCTCAAGTTGGTATTACAATTAAAATAGAAGATACAAAATAAAACAAAAGATAAAATATAAAAATGAAATATATACCATGTGTCAAGATATATTAGGTGATATAAATGTTGAATATATTACAGAAATATTAACCATTAAAAATACTTAAGAATTAAAAAGAAATATTTAAAACTATCATGTATGAGAGGTAAGAATGTGTATGCCAATTAATTCTAGGTTCCAGTGCTACAGTGTAGAATTGGGCATGTTGTATCATTGTACATCTTTGTTGTTAGAAGCTTTCTAAGCTCCCTGTTGTGGAGCCCAGAGACAAGTTCATATTGGGTGTGCATATTTCTGATATGTGTTATTGCATTGTAATAAAATGTGATGTATGCATTTTTGTCTGGGCATCTATATGTTCGATTTGTTCTAACTGTGCATTGGTTTGATGTAGACTGATTAGTGATGAGAGATTTAACTGATATCAGAAATGTCCACATGTTTTATAGGAACTTTCATGTTTGGAATGAAGTATGGATGGAGAGGCCAGACATTGTACCTGGGGGAGAGTATGGTGGCTGGCAGGCAATTGACGCAACCCCACAGGAGGAAAGTGATGATATGTACCGCTGTGGCCCTGCCTCAGTGAATGCTGTCAAGAGAGGAGAGGTACTCCGGCCATATGACAATGCCTTCGTCTTCTCTGAAGTGAATGCAGACAAGGTGTTCTGGCGCTACAATGGACCGACCCAGCCCTTAAAATTATTGCGCAAAGACACACATGGGTAAGTGTTTGAGCTGTCGGCTCTCCTGTTTTGTGAACTGACTGAGTTCTTTTTATAACCCCCATAGGCAAAATTCACAGCTGTTATCTTAAAGTAAGCCACTACTATTTCCTTTCATGTTCTTTCCAATTCATCATCCATGCTCATTATCAAATATTAGTGTACCTCTCTTTGTAAAATGATCTTGCATATAAAGAAGTTGCTGTGTTTCAACACAGTGAACAAATAAAAGTAGGGGAAATTTAGGAGCAATTACAAACAATTGTGAATAAAATTATAACTAACTTCATGGACCTGCACCATTCTTGAGAAGCTGCCAATTGTCCAGCTACTCAGGACATCAAATATACTTGAATGCCGTCTCATGTCTAACAAAAATGGTCAATTGGGTTATGAGTCTTTCCATCAGGAGATGTTCATGTAAATTTATGAATGTTACGGTGTGGGAATATTGTACTTTTGACAATAATATTTTTGGATGTGGCAAGTTTACTACTCTTAACTCCATTATCATTAATAATTTTGTGAAAATTCTCATTCCCAATTGTTGGTTTGAAATGTCTTCCCTACTGATTTTGGCACTGAAATCATCCTAACAGAATTCTCATATGGTATTTAGGGAATTTATTGAATACACTTTCTAGTTATTCATAGAATCTGTCCTTTACATTATCAATTTTATCTTCTGTTGAGTGATGAACATTCAGAACGATGATATCATACCAGCAACCTCTTAGCATTATGTATGATATTTTATCACTAACAAATTCTACTCATGTTATATTTTAGCGTCCTGTTCCACTGATTTAAGTCCATGATTTATTTAAACCGTCTTGCAGTGCATACACAAATTTATCTCCTTCTCTCCCTCGCACTACATGTTTCGGCATAATAATGCCATCTTCAGGTGCTTACTTATCCACGCCAAACTAGTTCATTGCATGCCTTGTTCTCATATTAAAATAACTAAAATATGTATCTATCATATACATTGTCAAGCGTTAAAAATATTAAAATTGTTCAGGATACCACATCGCTACATCGCACCTCACTACGCCAGTCACGCCCATTCTCCTCTGTTGGAGGAGAATACTGTTATACAGTATAACACACGCAGTCACAGGAGCAAGACACAACAAAAGCACAACACACACAAGATAGTGAAGGAGTGCTCCAACAGAGGAGAATGGGCGTGACTGGCGTAGTGAGGTGCGATGTAGCGATGTGGTATCCTGAACAATTTTAATATTTTTAACGTTTGACAATGTATATGATAGATACATATTTTAGTTATTTTAATATGAGAACAAGGCATGCAATGAACTAGTTTGGCGTGGATAAGTAAGCACTTGAAGATGGCATTATTATGCCGAAACATGTAGTGCGAGGGAGAGAAGGAGATAAATGAGTGTATGCACTGCAAGACGGTTTAAATAAATCATGAAATTCTACTCTCTTAACTTCTGATATGATTCTCTTACATACGGAAAAACCCGTACCCAATTTGTGATTCTCGTTCCCCTTTCCATAGAAAAATGAATATTTGCCTGCTGGTTCCATGCCACCTCTGTCCCATCTGACCTTTTATACTCCCATTAAACTTAACTTATATTTTAATATTTCATCTGCCACCATCCTGATCAAACCTGCCCTATACAGGCTTCTTACATTCCATGTCCCAAATCTATGCCCATTTTCTTTGGCTTAGGTCATTTATTCAAAGAATATGTCCATGTCCCCAAGGCCCTTTGTAACATTTCATAACAGCCTTATTTATTATGGTGAGGAGTCATTAACCCAATGCCCAATCCACAAATTGGAAGACTACTCTTATCAGCTCTATGTGACTGCTTATTTAATATATTTGCAACTACCCTCCATATCTAGAGGCTTTCTCCTCCATCTACAACCTGAGGACCCACCTAATGTGGTGAATAAAATTATAACCAACTAAAGTCAAGTCTATTTGAAATATCATGGGCCTTAATGAAACATTCCGAGAGCAGCCACTTAGGAGAGATTCAAGTTCTTTTAATGAAGATGAAAGCAGAGATTATGACTTTTGGGTTCTGACCCTATGTCCTTTGGTAGGTACTTACTGGGAAGTAAGTAATGCAAGTAAAGGAAATGAAGACTTCTTGTGCTTTCCAGCTTGTCATGGCTGTTTAAGAATATTCATTAATTTCGTTTTCTTAATACTGAGGGTTCATAATTTACAAACATTTGTGTTGTGTTGCCCCCACCACAGAGGTATCTTCTATGAGATCTGAGATTTTCTTTTGGCAGTGAAAATGGAGATTGGAGTTTTCTGGGTTGTGACACCATGTAGTCTGGTTGATAGTAACCACCTGCAATATTACATGGTGTCATAAACAAGCAGACTTCAATCTAGTGACACGAACAAAACAAGGGCTGTGGTTACGATAATGAAATATTTCACTGACAAGTAGCAATGCTTATTCTCATACATTAGGAGCACTGCTACATTATAGGCCATGTCTGTTCAATTTAACACTGCAAGAGTGATGGTAAACTTGCAATTTACCAGATCCTGTGAGTGCCTAAATATCAAAACAAACCAGATGTAACCTTCTGCAGTATTTGCTTGTCCATCTTTATGAAAAGTTATTATCAACTCATATGTTGAAAGTGACTTGTTAAAACAAGTAATGGTGAAACTTTTGCTGTTGGTTTCTATTTGGGTTAAATATTTTTAAGTGTTTTTGTTACAGAATTGGTCAGCTTATCAGCACGAAGGCTGTAGGAAAGTGGGAGAGAGAGGACATAACCAGAAACTATAAATACCCAGAAAGTGAGTATGAAATGCAGTATCAGAAAAGAGGGCTTCTTCTGTGCTCTTCAAGTCTTTCAAAGTTCTTCCATGCTACAGACACAGTCTCTCATTCAATAGTGTTGGTAACCTTAGAAGCCATTCTTACACTTAACAGTGAACTGAAAATAAAATATTTCTCCTGCCTTTTAACATGCACAGTCAACAAACCATGGGCTGCATTTAGACTCTATCTCTTTCACCTAAGAAAAAGAAAAGAAAAAATGGGTATTCCCTTGACTCATTAGGATTTTGCATTAGTGCAATTTCATGATTTTTTAAATCTAATTATTTTAATGAAATTAAAAAACAGTGAAATTATTTGTATAACAAGGGGTGCAAAAATGACTGTGCTGATGCTAAACCTAATTTCATTACGTGTTCTTCAAGGAAATTAAAGCCAGTGAAATCAAAAAAGTAACAAAGACTTTTGAGTTATGTGAACACTCTTCAGGACAAATGCTGTAACTATTTGGTGATACTAGTAGATAATACAGTAAGATTTATCTATAGGAAAGAAGATAAATAAGCAAGCAAACAAACTTTTATCTAAGTAAATAATATTGTATTGTAGCATCCTGTTGCACTCTTCCACTTTATTATAAATCTTATTTTACAGTCTTATGTGCAATTTAGAACTTAAAAATCTAAACTTTTAAGTTTATAAATAACTGCACATAAGACTGTAAATAAGATATGTGTTAAAACTAAGTAAACACAATTTAACATGTGTACCCTTTGGGCTTATGCTAGCCCAGTGATAATCCTGTTGTAGATGTGAAACATAAAGTACCAGCAAGGGCTGTCCATCACTAATATTTTATGAATTAAAATTTGAGTCAAGAAGTGCACATCCAAACACAAAAACACAATTTTCTCTAAATACAACTTATCACAGAAAAAGTTAAGTTACTATACATGTCTTTTATTCGCTGGATCAGTAAAACCTTTGATGGCACTAGAGGATGTTATATTACAAATCATTAAATATATTTTCTTAACATTACATAAGAGCAAATAACAGCTGACTCAAGGAATTAAAGTATATTTATTTAGTCAAAACAAAGTTTGGAATGAGGATACAACCAACATCCAGAAAAACTACTGCAATACATTACATCATTTTAACAGACATGACTACAAAATATATTATCAAAAGCACACAGCAAATATCAGAATATCTTGGGTGTTCCCTGTTAGGTCAGTAATAGGAGAGAGCATTGTGACAGAGAATTGATAGGAATATTGCACTTGACAGACAAAACACACAACATTACTCTTATATACAAAATTCAACATCTGAATCAGTGATAATTTATTTCATTGCGGCCAGAAGATGGATGCGCAGTAATTTTCCAACCAATTCTGTAGGAGAGAATGTTTTATGTGGTATGTGTACACATTCTTATTTTATGTTTAATAGAACTAGGGCATGCAGTAGCATAGTTGGCTGAGGCACTATGCTACAAGCTGGAAGGTCACAGGTTTGAGTCCTGATGAGGTGGATATTTTCAATTTACTTAATCTTTTTAGCCGCACCATGGCCCTAGGGTCGACTCAGCCTCTAACAGAAATGAGTACCAGCAATCTTCCTGGGGGGTAGAGGGCGGCAGACAATCTTACTGTACAAGAAGTGTGGGAGCCTTGATGTCTCACAACCCTATGGGCCTTCATGGCCTGTTACAGCATTAGCTTTACCTTTTTACCTTAAAGTGGTTAATATACTTCCCAATTCACATTACAGGGTTTAATTGGACTCACAAACATTTTCATGACTGTGGTCCATGATATACTGGAAACTTGATATACTACTTTTCTGCCAATTACAGAGAGTGAGGAGGAAAGGGCAGCCATGTTGAAGGCACTTCGGCAGAGCGAGAACCTTTTCAGTCGCTACTACCTGAATGAGGACTTCAATGACATTCAGTTTGATTTTGAACTTAGAGATGATATTGTCATTGGCTCTCCCTTCAGGTAAGTTAGCAGTGCCTAAAATATAAAATTTGTATAGTGTGGTTACTGGAATGGTAAGTTTACCATGAAGTCCAAAATATGTGTAAAAAACTACTAACATCCTCTCCTCCTCTTCCACTGCAATTAACATAATCATTTAAGAATTAGTTCACTGGACATTTCCAGCTTCATAAGTCTTCCAAATGTTCCCTTTCTTCAGATTAGTATTTATCTTTATTACATGTCAAGAAATATTTTTTTATATGGATAATTCACTTCATACCCCATAGTCTGACAGTTAAGTAGCCAGAACGATGTTTTTGGCCACAACTGAGCAAGTTTTCCTTCCACATTCATTCATTCATTCATTGTTGGAGGGGGTGGGTCTCCCCATGCACTGCGACCAGTTGTTGATCTATTGTAAGTCCCCCTTTGATATTCTACCAGCCGCCATACCCTTCTGGTACTGGTGCTTGCTATCAGCCCCGTTCAGCCAGCGAGTTCGGCCCCTATACTGGCACTGGTACCCAATACTTCACCATCTACTGGAGGCATTGGAAACTACTTGGGCGGGAAACTTTTTACCTAATTTTGCTCAGAGGTCTCCTATAGACATGAGGATCTTTTACGTGCCGTAAATCTACGACACGGGACCCATGGCTTAAAGTCCCTCCCAGAGGACTTGTTCCCTGAATTTTCCTGCCATTAAAAATTCCATGACCTCCGCCAGGTTTGAACCCACGTAACTTGAGTCATGAGGTGGGAACGTTACCCCTAGTCTACGGAGGCTGCTTTCCTTCCACATAATATCTAATTCATTGTTCACTGTTGTTCAGTCATTCAACACTGCGGTCTGAGTTGCAAACAGTGTCATTAAACAAACTGCAAATAGATGAAAGTAAAGCAACTGGTAACACTGCTGAGTTGGTGCATAAGGAATGAAAATACAGCAGCCAGCAACACTTGTCAATTAGTATATACTGGATCATGTGCTTATGAGCCGATCACAGTGGCTGCTTGGTACAAGGCATGAACTGTCTTTGCCCGCTTGAACACTGGGATTGTGGGTTTGAATCCCACTTGTGCATTTATTCTGTGTTTATATTGTCATGTGTAGGTAGCAGCTTTGCTGTAGAGCCATATATATGTATATTATACAGGGTGATTCATGAGGAGATACCACCACTTATGGAGCTCATTTCTGAAGACATTTTGAGCAAAAAGTGTCATATACTCAGTATTTACAGAGTTACATTCGTAATTGGAAACACACTACTGTCAACTGATCACCAGACATTTCCCCATTAGATTATTGCATTTAGGGACGGATGAAGGACATTATTTACCAAAGGAAGACACAAACACGTGAGGAACTACGTGCTCACATCATGCATGCTGCTACAGAAATCAGAGATAACAGTGTGCACCTACTTAGAGCAACATGTGAGGTTCACAAACATGCGAACAAGTGTATCGAAGTGGAGGGTGGAATTTTTGAAAATGTGTTGCAATCTCTGTAAGACTTTGCAAAATTGAACTACAGAGAATCAAGTCCATAGAATTAATTTGTTTTTGTGACGATAAACGCATTAAAATAATGTAATTTTTTATTTAAAATTAAAATTTAGAAACCTTCGAAATACAAACATAACTTTGTAAATATTGAGTATAGGACCCAGGTTTATATGACATATTTTGGTCAAAATGTCTTCAGAAAGAGCTCCATAAGTAGCGGTAACTCCACGTGAATCACCCTGTATATATATATATATATATATATATATATACATACACAGTGGAACCTCACTTAACGAGCACCTCTCATAACGAGTGATTCGCATAATGAGCTAAACAAATTGTAAAAAAAAAATGACTTGCTTAATGATCGACGTTTTGCGTAATGAGTGCACTTGCTACATCAGTCTGTGTTTAGCAATCGTTCTGCTAGCATCTCAGTGTCGCTTGTGATCACAAATTTTTCCGAACTTGTGTTCAGACATATTATTTGTGATTTTTTTGTGCTAAGTTTAATAACCCTTGGAAAAATGTCCCCGAAGAAAAAGTCACAAACAGACAGCCATAAGAGAATAAAAATAACCATAGAAATGAAACGTAAAATCATTGAAAAGCGAGAACGAGGTGTGAGCATGGCTGATCTAGCACACACGTACAATCGGTCTACATCAACGATTTGCACTATCCTCAAGAACAAGGACAAGATTAAGGAGATAGATGCTTCAAAGGGAGTGACAAGAATATCTACACAATGGTTACGTATTCTCGACGATATTGAAAGGTTGCTCCTCATATGGATTTTTTTGTTTTCTGCAAATTGAATTCACATTCCAGGTTGCTTCATTCCGCATAGAAGAAAAGATGAAGATGACTGACGCTCCTTAACAATGTATATATAATTTTCTTTGAATAAACGTTATACATAAAATTTTTTTAGTATTTTTTTGGCATGGAACGCATTATCGTATTTTACATTAATTTATATGGGGAAAATTGTTTCACTTAACGAGTGTATCGCATTACAAGTAAGATTCTGGAACGAATTATGCTCGTTAAGTGAGGTTACACTGTATACAGAGAGAGAGAATGTGCTTATGTAATACAGCCATTTTTTTAAACAACCATTAGGATTCAGTTTGTTTCATGTGGTGTACTGTTTATCAAGAAAGAGTGTGATAAATTGTTCCAACAGAGAATCACCAAAGCTTTCACTGACATTTGTGAAGTAATATCTGCACCTAGTACGTGATGCATAAAATGAACTGCAGAAAATATGACAAATAATTAAATCCTGTCATACATGTTGCAGTGTGGTTGTGATAATGAAAAACCGTAGTCCCATCAAAGACCATACAGTGACTGTGACCCTCCGGGTGGACACTGTTCTCTACACTGGCCGTGTCAAGGATGCTGTTAAGAAAGAAAAAGTGGAACGTCTTGTTAAAATGGGAGCAGGTAGGTGTTCTTCATTAGAGTCCTGTATAAAAATTTGTGACTTTAATGTTATCACATAAAATTTACGTACCAGTAATAAGTTAAACTGTTACCGAAAACATCTGGTTGAGTAGATAATTATCCTATCTGCTCCAAAGTTTTCTCCAAACTGAGGAGTGATTCTTGAAGTTTCATTCTTTGCTGATGCATTCAGTTTGCATAGCACTATTACAGATCCATGCTCACCTTGTTTTGGCATTGCATATACTTGACTGCATATGGAATTTGGTGTAGTGTTATCTTCTCTGCAGTAAGGTAAAGGTAAAGTTGTCCCTATACTTAATTAATTAAGCACTACGCCATGAAGGTGTATGGGGGAGTGGATGTATAGATCCATAGTCTTCTGACCTTTGCACTAGCTGGAGTTGAGTGGTCAGCTTCATGCACTGGCCACTTTATCCATGGGGAAAGAGTCTCAGGTACACATTGTATAGGAGGCTGGGTTGGCTCCAGACAGTCTGGATGACACGGAGAAGAAAAAATTCTTAAACCTCCTGGGACTCGAACTGTGACCCCTCGGTCATCGAGCTTGTAACCAGTCTCTATGCCACCTACGCTATCCAACTCCCTTCTTCTGCAGTTAAAATAATAAATCATATAATTTCAAGGCAGGAAAATTTATATGTTTTGGTTTAATGAAACATAATCAGTCTTGAGAGTCCATATTCATTAGTCATTCTGTCATCAACACTATCTAGTCCGACACAGAGCGCCATTAAATAACAGACGTGCAGTCACAAGATGATAAGCTACAAGCAGTATGTTTCAAACTTCTTTTTCTGGTTTACTGATGACTGGATAAAAGTTCATAATGTAAAAATGTACGTGTAAATGGAGAGGGGAACCGAAATAAGGGCTCAGCTCATTATTTGCATCCATGATTTATTTAATCCGTCTTGCAGTGCATACACTCATTTATCTCCTTCTCTCCCCCGCACTACATGTTTCGGCATAATAATGCCATCTTCAGGTGCTTACTTATCCACGTCAAACCAGTTCATTGCATGCCATGTTCACACATTAAAATACCTAAAATATGTATCTATCATATACATTGTCAAACGTTAAAAACGTTAAAAATATTAAAATTGTTCAGGATACCACATCGCTACGTCGCCCCTCACTACGTCAGTCACGCCCATTCTCCTTTGTTGGAGCACTCCTTCACTATCTTGTGTGTTGTGCTTTTGTTGTGTCGTGCTCCTGCGACTGCGTGTGTTATACGGTTGGCCTTCCTGGGTATGTGTGTGTGTGTGTTCTGTCTTCGTGCGGGGGAGAGAAGGAGATAAATGAGTGTATGCACTGCAAGACGGATTAAATAAATCATGGACTTAAATCAGTGCAACAGGACGCTAAAATATAACATCATTATTTGCAGTTGAGGAGATACGGTTGGATGTGTCATATGAGGAGTACTACAAGCGTTTGGTGGACCAGTGTGCCTTCAATATTGCCTGTATGGCGACTGTCCATGATACCAACTTTGAGTACTTTGCACAAGATGACTTCAGAGTCAGGAAACCTGATATTAAAATTAAGGTAGGTTGCATTCTTTTCTATTTCCAACAGTCCAAGTTCATATCACATATACACGTACCAATCTTGCACATAGCTTCAGTCATTGTTATTCCTTCCAGATTTAAGTCAGCAGGAGGAATTCTGTACCTTTGGGATGGTGATTTTCTGAATGTGACAAGTATGGAGACAACCTGCTGAGGCAACTGCTCCATTTCTTTTTCTTTTCCCTACAGCTTTACCTTTTTATTTCTTTTCATTTTTTTGGTCTTCTCCATTTCTTTCTCTTCCTTTTGTCCTTGTCCTTGTTTTCTTGAATATCCTTACACACAGTTATTCATTCAAGGTGAAGGATGCAGCTGACCACCAACGTACTGATGCCAGCAATGTTGATAACATTTGCCATGACTTAGGATTCGAGATGGGGTCTTTCTCTCAGGGAAACGGGTGCGTTATTGACCAGGAGGGGAACACATTTCAGGAATGATCAAACACTGTATCACCAGAATACCACTCTATGTATTTTTTGCATTTTGTTAGACAAGCATTACAATCATAGTTGGCATGTTATTCTAATCCTCCTTTAAGCATCATCACACTGATTACACCTTCCGTCATCAAAATTGCCCTCAATCTCCATATTCACTTCTATCACTGACTCCATAACTTATATCTCAATCCCTGTTCACTTACTACTCATCTACACTACTCCCTAGGTCCTCTTCTATCACTCCTCTCCAACTTTACATCTCGACTCCCTATAACCGACTGCCCTGTTCTGCGTCTACATTTCAACTCCTCTAACATATAGGTACAACCCTTAAGGGGCCATCACTTGGAAAGGGTTACGGCCAGATTCTCAAAATGGGTGCCAGTCCAGCATTCAGCTAGTTGGAGAGATATGTTATCTTCAAACCTTAATTTCAGCTTTAATCGTTACAAGACGCACATTAAGTAAGGGACCAAGCGCAATTAGGGTGACATACCTCCTGGGAGACTCAGAAAAAAAGAAGCAAGAACTGATTTTCCAAAATACCTCCCTATAACTGACAGAAGATGATATCTAAGTCTAGCGACAATGCTACCGACAATGGTGGCGCCACAAACCTGAGGAGGACTAGGTTGAATTACCACTAGAGGGTCCTAGATGGTACCTTGCCGGAGTAGTGTCTCAGGTAGAATCAATAAGTGGAATTTTATAGCTGCTGTCAAACAAGTTTAAGTAAGGGACATATGGGTACAAGGAATAATTGTTAAGCATATGCAAGTCTTCAATTTTTGACACTGAATTGAGAAAACTAATTTATCTCAATTCTAATGCAGATTTTTTCAGACTTGAACTTAAAAAATGTTAGATAACTGCTTTTGCTATGAGCAGCAGCACACAAACTACAGAATCCATCAAAATATAATGGTTGCCAATCCTACCTCAAATTTACTTCCTAACAGAATATGTCTGCCTGTCTCTCACCCCCCCCCCCCAATTCCTTCTTTCTGGGCATGGTGAAAAAGGACATGGCCATGAGAATTTTATTCTCTTAAATACAAAGATTCATGCATATTTTTCATTGTAAAAAAAACTGATATGAAAGCATGCAAGTCCTACTCTTTAATGCATTGTGAAGGAGTGACTGGCATTAAGAATTGTTAATTACAGTGAAAAAAATTTATTTTGTATAGAAAATTCTCACCTTTGTCTTCATTCCAACTACACTACTGCGTGCCCCCATACATATGGGCTAAGTTCTTAAAAACTGCTGCATATATTAAAAATGCATTGTTCGATTCCCTGTGCTACCAGATTTTCTGAGAAGTAGTGGGTCTGGAATGGGGTCCACTCAGCCTCGTGAGCATAATTCAGGAGCTACTTGAATGGAAAAGTAGCAGTTCCAGTCTAGAAAACCGAGATTAACAGCTGTGGGAATCTGTTGTGCTGACAAGGTGACACCCTCTATCTGCAAAAGTTGGCACTAACTTTGCCGACAAGTTGCGGTTGCGTGGTTGACATAGTTCACTTTCGGACTAAAACCAAGGGGGTGGGGGGTGGAGAAGGAATAGGGAATAATGAGGCTGAGCCAAAATGGCAGAGCAAGTTAAGGGAACTGCACACACAACTCATTAGGCATGCACAACAGGTTTTGTGGCTGCAAATGAATCACTGATGCTTCTCATGACACTGATATAAAACTGCAGATATGTGAAAACATAAATAGAGAAACCCCATTTATCTCAAGTCACCCACAGGCACCAGACATCTGTCTGGATGACCTGGAATTAACTTGCATTAGAGATCATCAGAAGTCAAGCTGTCATTGTGGGTATATGTCTTGAATTTCAATTTTACAGCTTGATGGTGAGGCAGTGGAAGGCCAGGAGTTGACTGCCACTGCCACATTGAAGAATCCACTGCCATCTGCTCTTAAGAAGCCTCAATTTATCATTGAAGGTCCAGGCCTGACTTCTCAGTTGAAGATCAAACTGCCACAGTAAGAAAAAAAAAAATTTAAAAATCATCTTTTTATTGTAAGTTTTGTGGCATTGTTGTGTTTGTAAAAGCCCATGATTTATTACCTTCATGATCCAGCTGATCTTTCCTGAAAGAAACTTACATTCCGTACCTCTTCTTAATAGGAACGTACCTTCAGGCGGTGAGGCAACAGCTACGTTCAAGATGACGCCAAAATTCTCTGGTAGAAGTACCATTGCTGCCAAGTTTGTGTCAAAGGAACTGGAAGATGTAGATGGCTTTTTGAACTTCATGGTTGAACCCAAGAAAGAGGTTGTCAATGGCACTGGCAACGCTGCATGAGCTGACATGAGGTCTGGGTTTGTTCGAACTGCATCTTCTAGTTTATAATGAATGAAGGTATGTTTTTACACATAGGCTGCAGCATTCAGTCGCAGCTTATTACTGGAGGATGGTAGAGAGAAGCTGCTTGTATATACTGTCAGACTTTTTCAATTTTTAGCACACATTTGCTAAACATATATTTATATTACAAGTGTTCAATTGCATATAGCTTCAAATTAAGAAGCATAACGCGTCACCTGGAACAGAGTTACTGTGACTCACATATGAGTATACTGTGTATCATTTTGCACATACACGACATCTCTGACATCAGCATAAAATTGGCATTACTGAGTTAATATTTATAGTTTAAATAATTTTATTTAATATTGCTTTTGAAGATAAGTTAAAATTAAACACAAAGAATAATTTTTTTTTTTTATTCTCAGTATAAATTTTGGTATCTGAATGTACTAATCACCACATGCTGTTATTAATACTGATCACAAATTTTAATTCAGGATTATAGTCAGAGTGAATTTGTTCACTTTGCTTTACAGTTACGTTATAAACACCATGTAACTGAATCCAGTTTAGCAACGGAAAGTAATTTATTATCATATAAAATGACATATATCTTTTCCTTTCATGACTTCAGGTATTCTTCTAAATCTTCCTTTAGCCTTCTGAGAATGCCCACAATTTTAGCTGCATACAGGTATAGAGTTAAGGTACCTGCTGAAAAGAGGTATCGGTTTAAATTAAATATTAAAAAAGAGAATCCATTCATTTTATATTTATGTGAGTAATGACAATATGTTATATTCTGGTATGTTGATACCAGTGTTTCAAAGGAATATACTACTAAAATCATCAGGCAAGTTAGGAAAGTGACAGGTTATGTAGTAATGTGAAAGGAGCATGTTGCGTAGTCGACTTTACTAAGGCCAGAGGTTCTTGCTGGTCTGCTTTCGTCATGTGCACTTCTTCATCCTGGGCTGTGACTGGCCGCTCCTCTCCTATGTGACCCCTTTCTTTCTCGCCACTTCTGTTCTGGAGTAGTGGCCCTTGCCAGGGCTTGTGGTTTCCATTCCCCTACCTCAGCTCTATACAGGGCTCTGATTGACCAATTCTATCTACATGATCTGTTTCTACATAATCTGCAACTTTCCCAACTTGGCTAACTTCAACACAAAAGACAGAGACTGTACATTCTTTCTGAACACTGGTACTCACATACCAGACTACAACATGATGTCATAACCGACAAGATCACAATACAACCTATGTTTTATTCTATGAAAATATGATAACTATGAATAGAATTATAATACTTCCGTTACTGTTACTTGTTGTAATAAATATCCATGTCATGTGAATTGCATTTATGTTTATATTTTCTTGTGAAACACACAAGTTCAGATATCATATGGGTAAATGGACATGACTCTTTCATGTGAAGATAAGCAACTAGAAAAGTGAATCAACTGATTTTTATAATTTCATATTTTATTATGATATTATTTTTATTATTATTGCCTATATTTAAATGATCTGAAGCTGACATGGCAACAGTATGCAGTGAAATATTCTAAGGCAATCCAGCTATGTCAGTATGGAGTTAGTGGTGTCTCAAATGTTGGACACTCTATCCATGTTAACACAGCACATCCAACGAAATGGCTTCACTGTATTACACATAGTGTTATAACTACTGTACTTATTCTAGGAAGTTAAACAGAATGTTGTCAAGTAATAACCTTTGCAAGGCTTTCTTTATGTATCTGAAAAACTATCATTTTGATCCTTATATAAGTTTCACTTACTTGGATCCCATATGTTTGTTGTGTTTTTAGATTATGTTGTTGCCTTCTCTGGTTCATATGAGAATTACTGTTTTAAAGTCATCATCATCACCACCACCACCACTGTCGTCATTGAGAATATTTTGCCTCTTATTATGTAGGCAAAGGCAATATTGGACATTAATACTGGTCATAGAATTCTTCAGTAGACATACTGGAATAAAATAAGGAAGACTGCTTTTATATATCTATATGTATACACACACATACACACATATTTATGTTGACTTTTTCATTTTAAAACAAATACTCTTATAGTAGGCTATTAAATTAAAACAAATTATTATGATTTTATATGTGAACTAAATTATTTCACTAAAGAGAGTATGGATATAGGTTATGGTACCATACATTAATTGTGTTTTAGAAATGTTAATGGTAATCAGAATAAGAAATCGGGCTCTCTCCAGTGAGTGTAATGGTCCTCTGTGTGTGAGGTTTCTTTACCTATAATGTGGCAGTTATATTTACAATTTTGACCATCAGCAGAAAAGAAATAATTTACACACTAGTATATAAATGTTATTTGTTTTTTATGTGAGGACATTTTTTATGCATGTATGAAGACTGAATAGGAAAGAAAGTAAGAGTGGTATTAAGTGAATAGAATTTATGAACTGTGTTTATTATCTGAGGTTTAATGCTAATGCTTTTTATCAGCCATAAATAATCTTATATATATATTATATATTTATAGATTTATTTGTTGATTTCAAATTATTGGAGAACAATATGCTATAGTGATTTTATAGTTTTTATTCAGAATTGTATTCTGAAATAATTGTAGTTTTTAAAAGATATTGAAATATTAATATTACTGACAGACATTACAGCTCACAGCACTATAACTTTTCGCAATTTTCAGTATACTAGCTGAAATATTTTTATTTTGAAATTTTGCTTCTTTTTTTTTTTCAGAATGCTAAAGTAAACTGAAACGCTCAGTTTATTTTCATACAAAGAGTTATCTTTGTTGTCATGTTGTTTACAGTGAAATGCCAATATAAAGATTTCAAAGAAACTGTTCAATCTGAACCTTATAAGTAAAACACACAAGAAAGAGAATACAGCAATATATTATAGTGACCATTATCAAGCGATATATAACTGTGACATTAATGAATTTGAATTATGGGTAACCTAAAACATGCATGAACTGACTGGAAAAAAAGTTCATATTTAGCTTTTGTTTGTATGATTAGAACATATACTTGAATTCAACATCTGTTTCATTAATAGAAAATATTGTTTGAATCTTTTCTTTGGCCTATTTGTGCATATTTAACAAAAACAATGTCCCTAGAAACAAGATAATGGCATTGATGACATTTTTGCCCCTATAGGAAGGTGTCTTTACTCCAAACAGCATTTCTAGAAGTGTGTTTACATACACAAGGACCTAGACTGAATATACCAAGTATTTTTAAAATTAAACTGGGTTGGTTAAATATGTATTAAAATTACTGATAGAGAGTTTCTTTAAAATTGTAAAGACTGAAATTGTTTTCACTGTTCTTATAAATATATATAACTCATATAATTAGTAATTTTGGAAATGTACTGAATATAGGGAAGAAGCAAAATCTGTAGCACAATATATTTCTGTATCCATAGCACAAAGTAAACTCTTGTAATCCTGAGTTGCTTAAGTTTGCAATACACAATGGGAACTGCCATTTTCAATATGATATTCAAAGAAGCAGTTGCAACTGACATACAATTTCTTAATTGCTGGGATCATGATTCATATCACTATGTAAATCTCATTATAATTATTTTAATATTATTACTAGGAAAGTGTGGGGGCACTATGCTACAAGCCAGAAGGTCGAGGGTTCGAGTCCTGATGATGTGGATTTTTTTTTTTAATTTACCTAACCCTTCCAGCCACACTATGACCTTGGGGTTGGCTGCACCATAGTTCAAGCGGTTAGTCACGGGCTTCCCACCGTGGCGGCCTGGGTTCAATCCCAGGTCTGGTCAAGTGGGATTTGTGGTGGACAATGTGGCGCTGGGGTAGGTTTTCTCCGAGTACTTCGGTTTCCCCTGCCAATCTTCATTCCACCAAATTCTCCATCATCATAAGCACCCGGGGCAGGTACAACAGGCCAATCAATGGCCGCCGTGCTGAGTGGACCCACCTGGACTCCACCCTCCACTAAGCAAATTTTAATTTTAAAATGGCCCTGGGGTTGACTCAGCCTCTAACAGAAATGAGTACCAGGAATTAATTAAATAATTTTCCTGGGAAGTAAAGCGTGGCCGGCGTGTAAGGCTGACAACCTCACCGCTGTGAGCCAAATGTCTAGATAATGTGGGACCCTCAATATCTCACAACCGTATGGGCCTCCATGGCCTGTTACAGGGATAGCTTTACTTTTTTACTAGGAAAGTGTCTAAGTTGGAGTTCAGAGTCTTTATATTTGCAGCAGATACATGTGATGGGCAGAATTCTTTTTGTGGAAGGGTGCTGATTGCCTCCTTACTCCCACGTTTATGATATTACTGCATATATTTTTTTTATCAAAGCACTAAATAATAATATATTCACATGCAAGAGAGACATTATTATGAGGTAGCGGGTACTCATATATTTACTCCGACAGTGAATGCATATGTATGCAGTGCATTAATGTGCCATTTTAATATCCGAAATTAATCTAACAATAGTGAAGCACAGAATGAAAGGAAGGATAGAATAATTTAAAGATATGTTTTAATTATCTTGCAAGTAGTTGGATTTTGATAATTGTGTTTAATTATAGTACAGTGTTTCCCAGACTTTGTTATGAAATACATCTGGTCAGTCCTACACCAAAATACATAATGCAGTTATAAAACTGATCATGGAATGGTGCGATTTTTAAGCGGGATACAAAAATAGAAAATAAATTGTTTAAAAATAGGACTCTTTCCATACTGTACATAGCATTATTAAGTGAAAAATTCTGCTTTTAATTCTTTACAGTAAGCTCAGCATCTGACATTCTGGTATTTGTTTTGCTGACTTGATATAAGCGTTTGCAGGTGCAAGATGCTACGTGATTATCCAGTGCAGCAGTAACAGAGCTTATAGTGAGGGTCACTGAAAATAATTGTTACTGCTATACTCTCCCTTCTCCAGTTTTGTATAAAACAGTTACTGGAAACACATTTCTATGTATGTAATTATATTTTATACCTACTGACTTCAGTTGTCTATAAGAAAATATCTATGTGCTAAAAGGTAATATTTTTCTACAAGAGTGGAATTTGATGTCTGTACTATCATTTATGTAAAGTTTTGTATCGGAATTTTTAACTGCCAGCAATAAACAAAACCGATTATTTGTAAATGTAATTACTTTCTCTCTCACTGGGCCAACAGTAACAGTAATGTTACCTTTGGTTTGTGTGGCCCACCCCCTATACATTCATTCAATATGAACCTTAATTTAAATTATTCCAGTCTTTCTCTCCAGGAAGGACACGTAAATTGGACTTCAATTTCTAAAGTAGATGAGTAAATGATCTGCCAGATAACCTCTTCTTCGGACATTGTTTACACTGATAACCCTGAAGAGAGAAGAAATGAGTAATTGGACTATGAAGCTGTATCAGAGTGAGAGTTGATTTAAATTTAAGTCCTTAAAAAATTGCAGGTAATATTACCTGCAGCTGTGAAAAACTAAGGAATTTTAAAACTAAGTTCTCACTTAGTATTTGTGTAAGGAACAGCTTTTGGCTTGTTCACAATGAAAAGCACCCAACAACTGGGGATGGTCAGGGGGGCAGCCAAATTTGCAAAGGGGAGTAGCAAGAAAATCTGCTTACAAACTTGTGTTTTATTGAGCACCCTAGAATATTAATCTTTTAAAAGGCTTCTAAACTGTTGTTACTATTAATATTTTCCTATTTTCTTCAATTCTGATTGAAACAACCACATGTTGCCTTACTCCCCTTGCGGTCACCAGTGATACAATTTGAGAACACCTGGATGAATTACATAAAATGTAATATCTGGCAGTTTTACTAAAATTTAACACTAAATCCCGATTTTGGTTAAACAGGGCCAACAATAACAGTAAGTATAGGCTATGAAGAGCTACATGTGGGTTTCTGTGCTTTTGCCCCAAATTCTGTTTCTCCTGATTTTATATTTTCATGGATTTACTCAGTACCGCCACGGGAATTCCACGAATGCCTGTACTGTAGACAACTAATTTGTTGCCATACAGACATGCATAAATATATATGGTATATATTGTAATGGTAGGCCTACCTTCTCTTATGATGCAGGTTAAAACACTTTACGACTTTACGAATGCCTCAGGTTTTACTAAACATGTCACACAAAAATATTCTTTCGCAAGATCACATGAAGTCAAAACCTCCAGCCCTCAACCATTTAACCCGTTAAACTGTTTTCGTCTGCTCTTTAGTCTGATACGCGCCTTTGCTCCTCTTCTCTTTATGCCTTTTGGCGCGCATACTCTTCCATATAACGTATATGAAGTGAAATTATAAACGCAGTTTTTTATTCAGGCATGGTAACTTGCATCCTGACGTCATGCTGATGAATGCATTGAAGACAGTCGATAGACGACCGAGACTATTTTTGAACGCGTAACTCGTTTCGACATGAAGAATCGCGCGGTGATTAACAATGTTGTGGTAGCATTAGCGTGTGGTAAGCGGGAAGAAGAAAAGTTTTAAAATTTGAGGTTAGAATTATATATATAATTCCTAGATGCAGTTTTGTTGCATCGTGGGCAGTTTACAAGACTTAACTTTGGCTTATATCAAAAGAACCGATATCTGCAGTCATTCTCTGCCAGTAGTATTCGTTTAGCTGCCCTCACCTTTTCTTCTACACGAACACTGAACAGAATGTGGTGCATTTATGAAATGCTTTGTGACCTGTTTACGTGAAGTTTATTGAGTTCCTATTTTATAATTTGTAAAAACATAGACTTTCGTAGTGTTGTGTGCAATATATGGGAAGAAGAAAGCGACAGTTTCGTCAGTTCTTCGGATGGCAGAGGCACCACAGTAGCTGGTGAGTTCGAAATATTTATGAATGTGTAATTTGGGGGGGGGGGCGTGGGGGATCCTACCTTTATAGTCTTTCTACACGATTTTGTAAAGTAGACTAAAACGTAACTGATAACCTTTTAAATGTATCGGCATATGTCAGACTGTAAAAAAGTATTTTTGACCAAGGTTGGTCACACGATGTTAGAATCCAAAACCCTATGGGAATGGAAGTGCATTTTTAGTTTTGCTGTAGGTTCTGGCATAAATCTCGAATTGTAGTAATTGTGATAGTGTTATTTGTTGCCCTTACCATTCCCGAGAGTCCGTAATATATCAGACATTTTTCCTATGGTCTAGTGGTCAGAGTTCCTGGCTACAGATCCTGAGGTACCGGGTTCGATTTCCAGGGCTCCAAGATTTTCTGAGAAGTAGTGGGTCTGGAGCGAGGTCCACTCAGCCTCGTGAGGATAACTGAGGAGCTGTTTCAAGGAAATAGCGGCTCCGGTCTAAGAAACCGAAATTAACGGCCGTGGGGATCCGTTGCGCTTACCACGTGACACCCTCTATCCCCAAAGTAGGCACGCCGACACGCGGCGGTCGCTCGGTCGGTGTAGTTCGCTTGCAGACTCAAGTCATGGAGTTTGTTTTTGTTTGTTTCGTTAATATCATTTTTGTGTACTAAGTCTTATATAGGTCGATACTAATAGATAAGGAACAAGTAAATACTGTTCATCCAGGTTATAAGAAATTTATATCTTCCAGGAGGTGGGAAAATAATTAATCAATCCATGTTTTGAGACTGTAAATATATTGTGTGGTAGATGACTCCTGAATTTGGCTATCTGATTTGTCTGTAAATTTTGTAAAATGTCTGCCCTTTTTTTTAATACAAAGGAAAATGGTTCTTCTGAATACTACAGTGAACATCTGGGTTCCATAAATTTCAAATAATTTCTTAACGGGCTGAGGACTGTCAGGTTCTCAAGGAGGACTCTGCTACTTGTACATAGTTAATCCGTAGCATATTCAGGTGTCACCTCATCAACATCAGGCAGGGTTAACTGATTACCTCGATTTAATTTGGAAGATTCCTTCTTCGAACCTCAGGCCGTGCTTTCCCTAACTGTGGTTGTTTGTGATTTTGCTTGGTATCTCCCCACAATAATCCTTAGTCGTAGCAGGGATACATATTTCAAGCCATTTTTCTATCCATTTTTTCCTTATTCGTTATATGCCAGTAAGTCCTAAAGCCAACCAATAATTTGATTAGTAGTATAGTTCATAGTTATTTGCCACAAAATTATTAATATTTTAACTGAATGCTGGAGGTCAAGCTTGCTGAGCCGGTACAACGACTAGGTTATGAGCTCGATGACAGAGGAATCGGGGTTCGTTTCCTGGCAGAGGCAATAGATTTTTATCTTCTCCATAACGGCCAGATTATCGCTGGAGACCACCCAGCCTCCTACCCAATGCGTACCGGGGACTGTTTCCTCGGGGTAAAACGTTAGTGGTATTAAGGTGTCTAACACCGAAGTGAAGAGAAGTGGAGATATACCTCCACTCCCCCCCCATAAATCTTCATGTCGTGCTGCTCAGTTAGAAACCACAGGCATGATGAGTGTTCTCACTTTTATGCGGTCAAGGAATTAATTCACATAAGTTCTAACAGGTGGCAATAGTAGACTGCACAACTTCACAGTACCATCTAGCGTGTAAAAATCGTAACACTAAAAGGTTGTAAGATATTCACACGAGCAGTCAGGCAGTAGTCCACAAATCATCCTACATAACGCTGCATAGCGTAGGCAGTTGAAAAGGCATTGCTAAATAAGCTAATCTCTCTTTATGTTGCAATCAACAGATCTTTCCTCACAATAATCCTCTCACTGGTTACAAAGTTGTCGTGTACATAAACACTACCCTTTGAAGGTGTATGGAGAGCGTACAGATAAGGCTCCATTCATTTTAGACCTCGAAGTTGTTTAGAGATGAGTGATTAGATTCATGTTCCAGTTGCTTTTCCATGAACGAAAAACAAACTAGGCCAAAAAGTTGTTTTCGAAGTACTCTCTTTATAACAAATATGGTATTTTAATTACAGGAGCTACGACATCAGTAATAACGTAATATATAGAATTGTTATTGGTACTACGGGGGCACTATGCTATAAGCCGGAAGGCCGCTCGTTCGATTCCCAACTAGTTCATTACACTTCTCAATTGAGCTAATCCTTCCAGCCGCACTATGGCCTTGGGTTCGACTCAGCCTCTAACAGAAATGAATACCAGGAATCTCCCTGGGGGGCAAAGGGGGCCGGCGCGTAAGGCTGATAACCACACCACTGTCTAGCAAATATGTCAGCCTCAACGTATCACAAACCTGTGGGCCTTCACGGCCTGTTACAAGGATAACTTCACTTTTACCTTTATTATTTTTATAAAATAGGGGTTTATTTTAATCAGGAAAATCTTAATGGAAATTTATAAGTGGGAATATAGTTTCTGTTTACAGTGGGAGGGCAGTAGCTTCAGGTCGCAGTCATCAAAGCCCGACAAAATTAAGTGGGAAGCGGATGTCCCAGTTACAGGAGAGTTGCAACTATTTAAGAAGTGATTATGAAAATGAAGAGGAAAGCGGTATAGTAATACTTACTTACTTATGGAGCTGAGCTCTTCTTGAGGAGAAGCCAAATTTACTCGAGAATTTCCCAGCATTTTATGGAACCCGAAGGTTCATTACCATGTTCACAAGAGTCCTCCACTTGTCCCTATCCTGAGCCAGATCAATCCAATCCATACCTGCCCATCCTATCTCTCTAAGATCCATTTTAATATTGTCAACCCACCTACGCCTTGGCCTTCCCAGCGGTCTCTTTCCTTCTGGCTTTCCCACCAATCTTAGTTAATTTTATTGGCAAATAAACGAACACGGTTTCAACCTACAAGCTGAAAGATAATTTTTCGTCCGCGTAAAAGCAATAAATGGAATATCCGTTTAGTGAAAATTATTTTACGAGTACAGAAACTTAACTGCAATGCGTGCCCCTGGAATATCAACTTGTCATACAGATTAATGTGGGGGACGCCGTCATGTGAGACAATACCACATTAACTGCAAACATTGGGCTAAATCCTGATGAATGAGGCTTGTTATGGGATCAGTAAAATTCTCGTTCTGGTTCACGTGACTCGATTCGTTCCACTTTTGGATTAGGAGCATCTGAGTGGACCCCCGGGGGGGGGGATTGGTCTGATGGTGACTCAACAATGGCGAGGTTAGTCTTGCTTTCATCACAAATGAGAGAGAGAGAGGGATGCGCAGACTCCAGAAGATACCGAGATAAATCGCATGACATTTGGAAGCTTAATTCAAGGGGAGAAGTTTACGTCTGTCTTCTTAAAATACAGATATATTTCCTGTTCCATAATAATAACTTTGAACACACTGTCGAACTAAATTTACCCAAAGATGTGTAAGTAAAATAAAGTTGTCCCTGTGCTTAATAAATTAAACACAAGGGTAGAGTTTTTTTTATTTTGGCGCTACAGACCCAAGTTGGGCCTTGGCCTGCCTCAATGAAACTCTCCGTTTCACTTCGGTTCAGTAGATCTTAGTCATTCGGTAGGACCCCTTGGGTGGGTGATCAGCTCGTCGCAAGGCCTATACCTAAACACAGGACAACACAAACACAGAATAAACACATACACTTACCAAACATCCATACCCTGAATGGGATTCGAACCCACGATCCCGGCTTCCGAGCGAGCGAAGACAGTGCATGCCTTAGACCGCTCGGCTAACGTGACCGGCAGTGTATAAGAATAATATATAAGAATTCAGTTCATACCTCACAGGAAACAGATCCGAACCCACGATCCCGGCTTCCGAGCGAGCGAAGACAGTGCATGCCTTAGACCGCTCTGCTACCGTGACCGGCGAGTGGAGATACAGCTCAGCACATACTTAATTTCAGCATGAAATGTGGGCGAATGATCAGTTTCATGGCCTGGCCGCTTTAACTCTAGGGAGAGGGCCTCGGTGCCAATGTGACATAAGGCGGGGTTTGCCACCAGAACGGGCAACTATGGAGAAGACAAATACTTTTTGCCTCCGGCAAGAATAGAATCCCGTTTCCTCTGTTGTACAAGCCGGAATAGCGTAGTCGATATAGCGACAGGCTGCGGGCTGGACAACCGAGGGGTCGGAGTTGAAGTCCCGTTAGGGTCAAGAATTTTCTCCTCTCCACGTCGTCCAGACCGGCTCTGGGCAGACCCAGCCTCCTATCCAAAGGGTACCGGGGCTCTTTACCGGGAGTAAAGCGGCCGGGGCGTGAAGCTGACCACTCAACTCCAACTAGTGCCGAGGTCAAGAAAATATGTATTTATACATGCACTCCCCCATGCGCCTTCATGGCGTAGTGCCTAATTAGTTAAGCACAGGGACAACTTTCCTCTGCCGTACAACCCATTGACAAGTCGTTTGGGAAAAGTGGAGAGGGACAAGGAATCACTCGCGCACGGGGCTGAGCCCTTCTTGAGGAGCCGCCA